TGAGTAGTAGGCGGTCATTTGGAACGGTGTGATTTTTAGTAGTGTAGCAAGACAACGGATAAGTCCGGATTCGAACTAGCGCCCACAGTCTGTACTGATATTTGAGGGGCAGCGAAAGTTTACTACCATCATTTGACGAAGAAGCCGGTCTGTATCTCAGTAATAATGTCCTTGATGGGTACTGCTTCTAGACATCGAGTGAAACTATCTACGTAAGTTAAAAGACAAGAATATCTATTTGAACCTGGTAAGAGTCCTACCAAATCCACGTGAACATAGTCGAAACGGGCGTCCGAAGTTGTAAAAGAGCCCATGGAACGTTTGCTGTATCTAATGGCCTTAGATTCCTGGTAGCTTACGCAAGGGCGTGCACGTTTCTTCACGTTTTTATTCTTACCTGGTTAACAAAATCTTTCTGCTATGAGATTGATGATTGCTTGAACACCCAGATGAAAACGTTTGTATAATGTATTGAAGACGTTGGGTCGATAATGTTTTGGCACGACTGAACGGTCCTCACTTGTAGATGTGTCAGGTAGTAAAGTTTACTTACCTGCTCCCGTTTGCTTGGCCCATAGTTCCAAAGTTGTCGAAGATAACTAGTGCTGAAGATTAGCTTCTATCTGTAGCTGAGCGAATTTAGGAGAATTATTCCTTTGAAAAGTTTCATTGAAGTTATACGAGACAAGGGGTCAACAGCTATATTTTTCACCCAGAAATGTGTTGTATGTATCTGCAAAGCGTGGTCCAGTTGTCAAGACTTTCAGAAAGAGTACTTGTTTGAAGACGCGCTCAAAGAGTACGTGAGAGGTTTGTGGTTGGCGAACACAGTGAATCCTCGATCTTCCATAGTGTTTGAAGTGATAAGATTTCCCTAACGGAAATGTTATGCCTCGATTCAGTGTCTTGAAAGCATCTCGAGAAGAATGTCAAAGGTTACCATCTGTTGTTTACCCATTGTTGTAAGACTCCTCCGATTGTCAAGCCTGATGCTTCTGCTGCGATACTAAAGGCTGCTGTGATATCCTAGTGTGCGAATAATGTTGCTTTTGTAACAATTTCCCTAATTTTGGAGAACGTTCTGTTCGTGTTGTCATCCAAATTGATGATTTACTCGTTTCTACAAAGTTGGTCTGTCAAGGGTCTCATAAGAGATGGTATGAACCATCGATAAAAACTTACCAGCCCATTGGACGTATGTAACTGCTTGACTGTGGTCGGTTCTGGGTAGCTATGAAAATTTGGCTATGTGTTTTAACGAAACTGATCTTCGAACAAAAACAGTTGTTATAAATTTTAAGGTGGCTGTCATGTCGTGAATATGAGGCAATCGATAGCGATCGGGAGAGGTTTTCACATTTGGTCGCTGATAGTCACCAGTTTGGCGCTAATTGTTGTTGTCCTCATTAGGAACCATGCGAAAGGGCGATGCACATTGGCTGTTCGATGGACAAATAATATCCAAGTCCATCATGTGGTTGATTTAGTTTTTGACTAACCTTGGGTTTACGAGAGCTAGACGGCTCGCTTTTCAGAATACAGTTGGTCATGTAGTCGTGATGTAACATGTAATATTGCCAGTTACATACTGTGATTTTGATCGCGTTTGGTGTATGGATTGATTATGTGCTTAAAACTGACCAGGAATAACAACCATATATCGCCAAATCCATAGCGTGGCAATGGGAAGCCCACTAGGTCCAATTATGGCAGATATTTTTATGGGGTATCTTGAAATCACGTTACTTAAACAGGCAATTAGTGAAACAACGGTATACTTTAGATATGTGGACGACACATTTATTATTTGTAACAATAAACAGCATGCAATCCGCCTGCTGAATCGTTTCAATAACGCTTACACTAACATACATTTCACTATGGAGCACGAATAGAACGAAATGTTCCACTTTCTGGATGCTGCCATAAAACACAGGGGAGACGGGACAGTTCAACGTTCAGTTTATAGAAAAAGTAATTGGAGTGGCCTCTACCTGAATTTCAATAGTTTTTGTCCAATTAGTTACAAGAAGGCATTGGTTAAAGCATTATTTTACAGGGTAGAAAAGATATGTACCATCGACAAACTGGAAGAAAATTTTGTAAACGTAGAAAAATGTCTAAAAGACTACTTTTATCCACAAAAGTTTATTAACAAATATAAAAAGCCCATAGAAAACAAGATGGAAATAACTACGGTCAATAGGAAGCCAGTATATATAAATCTTAAGTTTAAAGGTGATAACGTCGCACAAATAATCAACAGGAGACTGAACACTGCACTAGCCAGAACTTATCCGTCTGCTAAACTCATAACTCTCTATAAAACAACAAGTTCAATAACCCAATCAAAGACTGAGAACCAACCCTTTCATTTTACCGCCAACTGTATTTATAAATTGACGTGTACCTGCCAAAGAAGCTACATCGGCCGAACTGAAAGGAAAGCACATCTTAGATTTTTTGAACATGTTCCAAAAAGTCTTAGAACAAGGGAAAGAAAGACTCTGAAGAGTGCAATCACCAAATATCTCCTTGATACAGGACATCAGGTAGATACCTTACAATCGTTTAGGGTGATTAATAGGCAGCTAAACTCCAGTCTTCTGAAGTTTGCTGGAGCCATTGCTATCAGGCGTCAAAAACCGGACCTATGTATTCAAAAGGAGACGGTATTTAATCTTTCCTTGCCCTGGTGACAAATATTCCTTCACTGCACCTTAAAAAATTTTTTCTTTTGTATTTATTACGTCGTTTATTTTATTTTATTTTTTCAACTATCTTTCAAATGAACTCTACTCATTATAATCCTATCAATGTTTATCCATTATGTAATCAATTGTTTCTAACCCACTTTTGAACTGTTGTCACAATTAATGTTGTAGAATATTCTTTTACATTAGGTATATATTTACAATGTTCAGTAAGCAATTTAAACCCATTATGCAATTATGCTTTTTAAATATCACAGGTTGTAAGCAGCTGACGAGAACCTACGAAATAAAATGAATTTATGCTATTTTGGTGGAATCTTTGTTCTTGCTCTTTCCAAAATGATAAAGGGAGCTATGTGTATGAAAAGAAAATGAAGACACGAAAACAGATAATTTAGTATTTCCTAACCTTCGTTTGAGCGTGTCAATCAGTAGATTACCATGCTGTAGCAGGTCTATACCAACGATTGACATAGAAAAATCTGCGACAGCAAAAATAAAATCAATAGTTTTCCGTCAATTCACATTCAGATAAATATGCCGCTTACCATATGTGGTGATCAGTTTCACATTTGCTTCCTGTCAGTTGCAAGCCGGTTTAGGCGGACAGTCGTCAGAAATTTCTGAAAGGACGTTAATTTCTGCAGCAGTGCCATCGAGACAGTGAATTTTCGCTATCATATCGGTGATGTACAAAGGATGGCTAGTTTCTCCAGCCACGGTTGTTGTAAACGTGTGCCGGCCTGGAAGTTTCCTGAAGCCTTGTTAGTGCCGGTTGGTTCGGAGTTCAGGAAACTGCAGGGTTTTCTACACTTCGGAGATTAACCATATTTATTGTGATGCAAGTACCAATCAGGTTTGTTCGTCTCTCGTGACCTAGAGGCCGATCGCTTCTTTGAAAAACCACTGCAAGAAGTTCGTGAGGGTCTACAATCATGGTAAATACTAAGGCAACGTGTCAGAGTATTACAGAGGCCAGTAACGTCATGTCGTGTCATTTGAGGCTTTTCTTTGACAGGATAAACCTCGGACCTAGGAGTTCCAGTGACCTTCAGGAGCTGGTTAGCAGATGCAGGTAATGCATCTAGAGTTATTTTGAAGTGATACAAGCGCTGCATGTTCCGGTTGGGGAAGTTTAAACAATATGTGCTGTCTAAATGGGTCTTCGTCGAAAGTCCGCTGACAAATGACCTATCGAATTTTCGGCAACATTTTACTGCTGAGCCATATTGTAGTTCTGTGTCGTAGGAGAGTTGGACTTAAATTTGTCGGTCGGTTAGGTCTCCACGTTTAAGGATAGCTCCTTTTAAATATTCATAAGGATCCGGAACATCATTATTAGACATGTTAGGTGTGCCGTACCTATTAAAACCGCGCGTTAGTGCTTCCACTGCTGCGAGAAACTGTGCACGTAGGTCTGTCATGAAGTGCTCATCGAAGTCAGCTTCTGCGTGGCAGAGCCAAGTTTCTATATTGTTGGGCCGGAATAGCGTTAAGTGAATTGAGGGAGGAGAAAGAGTCTTAATGTTAAATAACTTAGGAGCCTGTTCCTCCATGATTAATATAAAGTATATCAATGAACGAGAAAAAAATATTCGAAAATATGAAAACAATATAACAGTATGTAAAAATGAAAATTAAGATATGTAGTATGATGCTTCAATAAGAGACAGACACACAGTTACCGGATTAGTGTACCAAATCACGTCAGGCTCAACACTACAGATGCCACAAGCATTCGGGGTTTGACAACGCCTTTTTGCGTAACACCTTTATAATTGAAGTATGTCAACTCAGCCAAATCAGAAAACACAACTGAAGGGGATCAAGGTTATATTTAAAAGGCTATCGATATCTCGAGGATCGTTTGAACTAAGCTGACTAACGGTTGCAGGAAAAGCATAAAACGGCGTTATTTGGAGCAAATACGTGACCAGGAGCCTTTAGTTAGGTAAATCCAGTAAAACTGATGAGGTCATCATCAATATCGAAGAAATAAGGAACTTTTTATTTTGTGGATATTTTTAACCGCAGAACTTAGAACCTACTACCGAAAGAGTGCCCTCCTCACATTCAGCAGGAAATCAAACAATTGCAGAATCTTACCAGTGAAGATATAGCACAGACCGTCATAATCCTGTCCTAATTCGCAGATCGAAATCTACAACTAATTGGAATACTTTTACAGTTTCGATTGCGGTTAATTTGGATTTAACACACTTCGAGTTCTAACCGCAGATTCTGACTCTAAATTGTAATTCTTATTCTTCATATTAACTTACAATAATATCTTGACCTCAGTAAATAGGTAAGTTGCCTCAAAGTCACTTTAGCGTCGTTTGAAGGTTATCTATACATTCTAATCAAGTTAACTTCTCCAAGACTAGGTTCACTTCGAAATTATAATCCATGTTAATGCCATTTGAAGGGAACGGTCTTTCACATAAACGAACTCAAATCATTGTCTTCACACTTGGATCATTACTCAGGATTGTTTGTAGACATTTCGTAGGGACCCATGTATTTGTGATAACATTCGTAGCTTGTTAAATTGGTAAAATATTGCTTAGTAATTGGTATAGTCTATGATCTTGCACTAGACTTACAACTATTATAATGATAGATATGTCTATCATTCTGCTGCCGCTTTAGAATGTGTTTTTCAGCAGAAATGTCTCTCAACTTGACCCTATTGATCATTTGTTTCAATAGGTTTGCGTTACTACTTGTCATTTTCAGAGCAGTTTTTCTGTAGGTAATTTGTTAAAACAAAGCTATCAAAGTCTCAAAAATCACTTAGATTACTGTAGGTCCCCCAATGACCTGGTATGGCCGAGAGTTGGGAGTCAACTCTTCTCGAAATACTCTCACACGGCCACGCGTATACAGCCTCTGCCAGGGAAGTCCTACTCACTGCCTTCTCGTGGCGGGGATGTTGTTTACGTAAATGAGAGGACGAAAAGCGAATGTCCGGAGCTTTAACCGGATCCCAAACCAATGGTGCATATGGGCTCCAGTATCCTGCGAAAACAAATGGCGTATGAACCAATTTTCGGTCACCGGCTACCATGGGACTGCATCTCCTTACGATGCTCCACTGCCTTGTGGGTTAGACTTTTAGGTCAAAGGCTCGGGGTGTGGCATCCTAAGATAACCACCTGCTTCGGTCTGGGCACCGGGGCAGTATTACAGCCCGCACACACAAATAGTGTGGCGCATATATAATTGGTGCCCTCTTATACCAATATTTGTGTTGAAATAAAATAAAAATGATAAAAGATACACTAGCACATATACTCAATTTTTATTAACTCGTTCAAGAGGTACTTGGCTACAAGCCAGACCGTGTGAGGGGTAGCAATACTAACTGGTCTCATGGACCTAAGTTGTTACTAACGCGTTCAAGCCGCCGCTTCGAAAACTGAATTTTCAGTTTTTTTACAGTTTGGAGCTACAAAGATTTCAATTCCTCGTCCCCTCAAAATTTGACCTATAAGCCTCTACTTAGAAACTTCAGTCTCCAGTAAATTTACTCTCACGAAGCCAAAAATTAGTTGTTGACGAACCACACTCTCATTAGTAGTCGTTATATAAATTATTTGTTTCAATAGCAAATGTTTATCATCAAATTGATGTTTTTGAAACCTGATATCCATGCATATGACCGAAAACAATAATTGTCACTAGTAGCTCTATGATCTCAATTAACGATTTATCGCTAAGTAACCATCATGGATCTGAATATATCGGTTTATTTGGTGTATACTCCACCAAACCATATCTCTAACAAACTACGTGTCAAATTGTATTAATTAGGTTCTCTTAGTGTTCGAGTATCGTTAACTTCCATATCCTGATATTACAGCGGTTAATATAAGGCTCATTTTCTCCACAAAGCCGTTTGAGTTGCTTGTTGACAGGTCGCTTCTCATTACTCATATCTTGCAACATTTTGTCAACATACCTGATAGTTTTTATTCCAATACATGGAAGATTTACAGCAGCTCAATTTATATAATTCCTGTGTTTCCAAGTTGAATTATTTTTCAAAAGGTTCATTGTTTAATTGTATTACGTTTTGAAGGAGAATCGTAATGAACCAACAGATCTCAGTGCTAAACGGCTTTTTTGCCCTGATGCAACACCATGTAAATTAATATATCAATGAGATTTTTGACTGTTTAGTTAGGTACATAATGCTTTTGTTTTGTTCACTTAGCAAGGAATATGACTGACTTCATTGAAGCGGTATCCAATCCATTGGCACCTGATGTGTTTGTGGGTCATGGTGACTTTACGAATCAAAAACTATCTAATAGTGATTTTCGAAAATTGTTAATGACACCTAAGCCATCAGTACAACCTTCAAAAATTGATGAAGTACATGAAACTGGGACCCGCATTTCTACTCACCACTTGGAAAGATCCGATCGTATACGCCAAGATCCTAGTCAAACTATTCATCGTAGTAAACATAAGATAAGTCACAAGCGTCATCATGTTCGTAGCAAAAAAGATGCTCAAAAATCAGATGTTTCTGAATCAACACATCGTTATCGAGATCGTGCAAAAGAACGACGTGACGGCAAACTAGTTGTTCCAACTGAGGAAGTTGAGGAAGAACGTGAAATGGAAAATGATGATGATACTTTAACTCGTACAGCCGACTATCGTGCTGTTGCACCATCGTCTGCTGCTGGTGCTTCACATGCTGAACGTCGTCGAATGCTTATACAGGAATCTAAGTATCTTGGTGGTGATATGGAACATACTCACTTGGTCAAAGGTCTTGATTATGTTCTATTACAAAAAGTCCGTTTGGAAATACAAAATAAAGAAATTGAAGCCGAACAAGCCCTGGATACTGAATTAAACAAACCTGATAAAATGAAAGAAAGTACTAATAATGAAGAAAGCATACAATTTCGTACTCATCTAGCGGCAAGTATATGCAATGTTATTTTCAATGAACGTCTCCCAGAACGTAATGAATATTTTCAACCTGGTCGCATGGCTTATCGTATTGAACTGGAAGATGATTCAGTGGATTTTGAAGTGCCAGCTACAGTGATTCGTAGCAAATCTGATTGTTTACAAATTGATGGTCGTGGAACTGGTGCAATAACTACTAACGAAATTGTTATTAATAAACTTACTCAAATCTTATCATATTTGCGGGCTGGCAAACGACATGCAAAGAAGACTAAGCTTAAAGGACGTGTTGCTGACAAATCTGAATTTGATTATGAAGACAATCGACATCTTATTCATAAAATGGCTAGTAAGTTTATTGTTATTAGTTGGTAAGGTTTTTTTTCACTACAAATGTGATCCACTGTATTACTAACTAGAGGATGTTACGTTTGAGGATATTAATCATTTATGAAATAAACGATTAATGTAAACCATTCTACCAGGCATTAATTCCAACTCAATTTTATTAAATTCAAAACAGTTTAATTCATTTACCAAGTACATTTTCCTATATTCGACCTCAAGCCATATTATATGAAGACTATTTACTCAACTTCCCGAAACCGATTAAATGGAGTGAGGTCCGAATTTGTGACCAGCTATGTGAATTAATCAGAACTAAACCACCACTCCAGTTGGTAACCACTAAGCTAAATAATTTGCAAATACTTTCTTGGGTGACTGATGACACTCGATAGAAAAACGTTGTGGTTATGGACAATTATTGGACAAGTATGTATCAAACCTACAATAATATCATGCTTTCATTATCCTGCTTTACGGTTAAAGATGGTAATTGTGATCTGAAGTTTTGACTGATTCTCTGTAGGAGTTGATTGTGTTAGTGAATTAATCATCAACGGCAGATTACTACAGTAGTTGGATCACAGTTACTGACTTAACTTTATCAATCAGGTTACTTACTTTAAACCTGAGCATATGAATGTTATGGGTTCGAACCCCATCCCGCCTCACCACTAACATTCACATCTAAAATATACCTCAAAGACAAGTGCGTGAATATGTATCTCGTAAATGACTCACTTAATATTCTCCTTGTTTGTGTATCGTGTAGTCTTCGTGACTATTAGAGAACCATTGGAATTTACCGTGTTTTTTTTAATTTAAATTTTCTTAGGTAATATCTATACAATTGAATGGCTTAGATTTCTATAACTCGTTAATAGCTTATAACGAGCTTTTGCAATCAATTTTGAGTCATACACTTTTTGGTTGCTCAAACTAAATTAGCTGGAAATCTAGTGTGCAACCTAATAAGAAAGTGTTTACTGATTCACCCACCCAGACTGCTGCTTCACAAAAACTTTAGTAGTTATCCATATTACCCATATCAACCAGCTCTTCGTTCCCTCTCTTTAAAGTCGATTTGTGTATACAGGTACACACTACTAATGAATTTGACCGTGAGTGACATCTACACTAAGCGTTTCATACATGAATCCGCTTGTTCTTGGCTAAGATGTTTCTTATAAAGTCACCGTTTTTAATAGTTCAAATTTTATAAAAAACAACTAAATAACAGTTAAAAGGTAATTAAAGCGAAGAAATATCTTTATAGTTATTTTTCCACCCAGACTGCTAATAAGTATGTTTTGCAATAATGATAAAAAAGACCATTTAAGTAGTAGCGATACATCTTAGCTAGAGATGGATGGTAGCTAGCAGCGGAATTCAGGACGAGCATTTCATCATATTCTGGGACTCGTCAGCTGAATGTACTTGTATCACAGAGTTAATGTTCACTTCAGGAGTGGAACCCATTACCGTTCGCTTCAAACACCATCGCGTTATCCACTTAACTACGGAGTCCAGATACCCAGATAGGTAGTTTAAACCAAACAGAAAGGCATTTAGGTGGGTATTTTAGTATACCTGTACAGCGAACAGATAATGGTGATCGTCTGCTGCAACTATGCTCAGACAATCGTTTATTTCTAGCAAACACAAATTTTAAGCATAAGGAAAGACATCGTCTAACACCAAACCAACGATTGACTCAAATAGACCATATTGCCATCAGTCATAGTTGGAGAGGGTCGGTAGAAGATTGTCGCTCATTCTGGAGTACCTGCTTGGACTCCGACCATGCTTTATTACGGGCACGCATCTGCTTGCGCCTCACTGTACGCAAAAAAGCAACACTAAAAAGACCAATTAAAACTGAGTTGAGTAACGAGAAAACCAAAAGTAGGTTCCAGGAACAACTGAGGTCACACTTAGGTAGTTCTGAAAACGAGGCTGACCCAGATGTTGCTTGAAAAGATATACAAACAGCTGTGGAAACAGCAATGAAGTCTATTAGTGACTTAAACTACAGAGTTACAAAGAACCAGTGGATTTCTTCAAAGTCTATCACACTGATGGATTCTCGAAAACTCGTCCCATCAGGTTCCGAACATGATGAAGAGCGACAACAAATCAGATTTAGGTTAAGAAAAAGTCTAAGAAACGACCGTGAGCAGTGGTGGGCAACGAAAGCACAAGAGATGGAAAAGGCGGTGACTATAGGGAACACAAGACAGCTTTATAGACTAATAAAAGAAACTGAAACTAATAAGTCAAGTGTAAGTGAGATTATATCGGAAAAAGACGATACACTCATCTGCTCCATTCCCAGACAGTGTGAATGGAACATTGAAGTAGGTCCCCCAACTCTTGCTGAAGTCGAGAAAGCTATAGTTAATCTGAAATGAGGAAGGGCAGCTGGTCCAGATGGATTGGCTCCAGAAGTCTTTAAGGATGGTGGTCCAATTTTAGCGACTAGGTTGACTAATATTTTAGCTAAGATCTGGGAGTTAGACGTTATTCCATCTGACTGGTCTCAATCACTTATCGTCCCAACATATAAGAAAGGGTCAAAATCATCTTGTGACAACCACAGAGGGATTAGTTTAACTAATATAGTATCTAAAATACGAGCCTCGATAATTATCAGGCGCCTAACTAAGACCAAAGTGCGGGTTTACTACGGAACGGTTTGCTCGGTTCCACTTTATGGGTTCGAAACATGTCTACTAAGAATAGAGGATATATTGTGACGGGCGGTGTTCAAAATCTGATACTGGTACACGGTATGCTACGCACTGACCCCCCAGCTGACTACTTGAGCGAGAACACAAGAATGATCGATAAAGTGTATTAGGCTACCGAATAAAATGCACAAATACTCATTCATATATATACCACTCCAATTCTTAGGAAATTGATCATTTTCTTAGTCAATGAAATTCGCTGGTCGTTTAGGCCGCTTCTGATTGTCGTCGATTGACCTCATTAGGCTACTTCTTATTGACTCTTCATATCAAGATATTTGTAGTTTACCAGTCTTCCACCAAATCGTCGAAGAACCTCTCGTTTATTTTGTGACCACCGAGAAAGCATTGCCGAGATTAGGGATAAAGTACTGGGTAACAATTGCAAACCTGTTGATGATATGGTAAATCTTCATCAACTGAGGTAGTTGGAACATGTGTTACGTATGTCCAGCCACTTCCCACCTCATCAGGTGATGTTGTCAGGTTTAGTAGGCTGAAACAAAGTTAGGGGCGACTGAACCAAAACATGAAACCAGTCCATAACTTACTTACTTACTTACTTACGCCTGTTACTCCTCGTGAAGGAGCGTAGGTCGCTCACCAGCATTCTCCATCCAACCCTGTCTTGGGCAATCCTTTCTAGCTCCGTCCAGTTGTAGTTCATCGTTTTCATATCTGCTTCTATTATCCGACGCAATGTGTTCTTTGGTTTTTCTCTTTTTCGCTTCCCTTCAGGATTCCAAGTTAGGGCTTGCCTCGTGATGCAGTTTGACGATTTGCGTAATGTATGTCCTATCCATTTCCATCGTCTTTTACTAATTTCTTCTTCAGCTGGAAGCTGGTTTGTTATCTCGCAGAGAAGGCTGTTGCTGATGGTATCCGGCCAATGGATGTTGAGTATCTTGCGTAGACAGCTATTTATAAATACTTGTACTTTCTTGATTGTGGTTGTTGTAGTTCTCCAAGTTTCAGCTCCATACAGTAGAACTGCCTTGACGTTCGTATTGAAGATTCTCACTTTGATACTTGTTGAAAGTTGTTTTGAGTTCCATATGTTCTTCAATTGTAGGAATGCGACCCTTGCTTTGCCGATCCTCGCCTTTACGTCTGCATCGGATCCTCCTTGTTCATCGATGATGGTTCCTAGGTATGTGAAGGACTCTACATCTTCCAGAGTTTCGCCATCAAGAGTGATTGAATTGCTGTTCTCCGCTTTGAATTTGAGGACCTTAGTTTTCCCTTTGTGTATGCTGATGCCTACTGATGCAGAGACTGCTGCTACACTGGCTGTCTTCATCTGCATCTGTTCGTGTGTACGTGATAGGAGGGCTAGGTCATCTGCGAAGTCCAAATCGTCTAATTGGTTCTGAGCTGTCAATTGTATTCCGTGTTTTCCTTCAGATGTCGAGGTCTTCATAATCCAGTCGACCATCAGAAGAAAGAGGAAGGGAGAGAGTAAACAGCCTTGTCTGACTCCGGTCCTTACTTGAAATGCATCTGTCAGCTGTCCTCCATGCACGACCTTGCACTGTAGTCTGTCGTATGAGTTCCGGATAATATTGACAATCTTCTCAGGAACTCCGTAGTGCCCAAGAAGTTTCCATAATGTCCTCCTATCTACACTGTCGAATGCTTTTTCATAATCAATGAAGTTGATGTATAGTGACGAGTTCCACTCAACTGATTGTTCGACGATGATCCGTAGTGTCGCAATTTAGTCTGTGCACGACCGATCCTTGCAGAATTCAGCTTGTTGATCTCGAAGTTGAACGTCTACTGCGTCTTTCATCCGGTCCAGCAACACTCTGTTAAAGACTTTCCCTGCCATTGACAGTAGTGTAATGCCTCTGTAGTTTTCACATTTGCTCAGATCTTTTTTCTTTAGAGTCTTGATGAAGTGTCCTTCTTTCCAGTCCATCAGCAGTTTTTCCGCCTCCTAAATCTTTTTGAATAGAAGGTAAAGCATGTTTGTAGTTACTTATATGTCTGACTTCAGTGCTTCAGCTAGTATGTTGTCAGGACCTGCTGCTTTCCCGCTCTTGATTTGTCTGATAACCATCCTGATTTCTTCGATTGTTGGTGGAGTGACATCTATAGGAAGATCTATGTGTGTTGCTTCGATGTCCGGTGGATTCATTGGAGCCGGCCTATTCAGGAGTTCCTCGAAGTATTCTACCCATCTGTTACGCTGTTGTTGAATTTCGGTGATTGGCTTGCCTTCTTTGTCTTTGACCGGCCTCTCTGGTTTACT